TTATAAGCTAAGGCTATGCATAAAATGATTGCTACTGCTATGAAACAACTGGGTCTTGGTAATTTAATAAAAGTATCCAACAGGCTTCATCATCAATGAAGTTTTATCAGATGAAAGAGCAGGTGTATGTATCATTCCCACAACACCCACAATTGGCTAAATGAGGGGATCAATGCGCTGGGGTAACTGTCAACTGATTTATGTCAAGTAAAAAACAATGGTCTTCATTACAGTACAGGTAGTCCTCGAATTACGATCACAATTGAGCCCAAAATTTATGTTGCTAAGTGAAACGCTTGTTAATTGAGTTTTACCCCATTTTTCGAATTTTCTTGCCATGGGAATCATTGCATTGCTAAATTAATAACACGGTTGTTAAGCAAATCTGGATTCCCCCCCCCAATTGATTTTGCTGGTCAGGAAGTCGCAAAAACGGATCGCATGGGAACTGCAACCGTCATAAACACGAACCAGTTGCCAAGCTGGTTCGAATTCTGATCCTATGGCCGTGGGGATGCTGTCAACGGTCGTTAAGTGTGAAAAAACGGTCATAAGTCACTTTTTTTTCAGTGCCGTTGTTAACTTAGAACGGTCACTAAGCGAATAGCAAGTCGAGGACTCCCTGGACTTCCATAATTCCCAACCCGCATGCAGACCAGGGGCTGCCACAAAACTCTCCTGCCGCCTCTGAAACCAGCAGATCCAATATATCGCCTTCTGAGCGAGGAAGGATCTGGGCCTGCCTGCTCTGGCGCTTGTCCGCCTGCTGCAGATCCAGCCCACCCGAAGAAACCGAAGCCTGCAACCGCCCCCCAGTTACAGCGTGCGAGAAAACCCGCCGTTTCTCCCCCGCCTCGGAAAAGAACGGCGGGAGCTGATGGAAACCATCTCCGGGCAGCCCCGAGAAGGAAGAAAACTTCGCCGCAATGTCTCTACGGCCAGGATGGCAACGGATTCCCCACTTACCGACTATCTTAAGTGCCGCAGTAAGGATACCTTGGCGGCACGGAAGGAAAGAGAGAGAGGAACCGGAAGCCGCAAGGGTTGATGGGACCCTCGGGAGGGTGGGGGGAAAGTCCTAGAAGGTCGGGTGAGAGCCTTTCGAGACGGATGAAGTGCTAAGGGAAAGCTGTGCCACCTAGCCGGTCAATGTCGTTAACGGACGCCTTTATTTAAATTCTATTGAATTTCATTGAATTCTGTTTAGATAAAATCCTCATTTCAACTCAATCACAGTTGCGACGTCGGCTGGCAAAGAACAAAGACCTGCGTACGTCACTTCCGCCAGCAGGGGCAAATTGTAGACGAGGAAAGTAGCCTACGGAAGTAAGAAAGTGTAGAGAGGGAGCCACGCTTGCTGTTCAATTGAGAGTTCCTTATAGGATTTAAATAGAGGACCCCGGACAGGGCAGCGGCAACAATCGTCTGGAAATAAAGCGTGCCACAAACTCTTGTGGCTCGCAATTTCTCAATGCTTTTTACAGATTTTTGCCTTTACATTAATTGCATTTTAATTGAATGTAATATATAATTTTTTAAAAAAAATATCTGTCCTCTGATCTTAATATCTATGGGGCGGGAAAAAAATGAATGGATGATTTTAGTATGAATTCCACGGTAGAAAATCTTTCCTGATGTTCCAGTTATCCACGTCCTCCTTTGCCTGTTCAGCTATTGGGTAACCCTAGAACACGAACAGGTTGAGATCTGTGAATAACATCACTTCTTTAGTTGAAAGTAGAAAAGATTTAGGAGACCCCCATTATGAAAGTAAAAAGGATTTAAGTGAAATTATGGACCAAGATTAAATATCAAGGAGACAAATTTGTCAGTCTGCATGTTGAATGACTACAATTGGTGGCAAACAGGCTTGAGGGAAGATGAAAGGCAGCCGATAAGGTCGGACCTTCCAAGAGATTATTGGAATGTTCATAGAACAAATTATTACTAGTAATTTGTCAATTAATTTGTCAAGATGATGTTTGCGTGAGCAATTTCCAGCAGCCAAGAATGTGATTAAAATTCTGCATTCTGCCTCCCCACTTTTCAAAAGTCATCTCTAATTTCTAATGGAAAGAGGAAAAAACTATAGAACTTCAACTATAGAGGTGGATCTGTCTATAACCGTGATGGTGAACCTATGGCACGCATGCCACAGGTGGCACCAGAGCCCTCTCTGCGCGCACGCCATCCGTCACCCCAGCCAAGCTTCACCATGCATGTGCGCATGTCTCCCGCTGGCCAGCTGGTCTTCGGGTCTTTGCCATGCATGTGTGGGGGACACCGTGCATGCACAGGGGGTGGGGAGGGGGCTCTCACATTGCATTTTGGGGCTTCATGCCCTGTTTTGGCTTCCAGGTTGGTGCAGGAGGTTTTCCAGGCCCAAAAAGGGGTATGGAGTGGAACCTGCGCCTCATTTTGGGCCTGGAGGGCCTCCTGCACCAACCTGGAAGCCAAAAGGGGCTGGCGGGGGCACATGAGGGTGGGGTCACACATGCATGTGCGGGGGGGCAGGGGGAGTGCGGGGGTTACACGCATGCGCGGGGCACATGGGGGGGGTTACACACACCTGTGTGGGGCACATGGGGGGGTGTCACATGTGCATTGCAGGGAGCTGTGCAGGTTGACTGCTAGGCTTAGCAGCATTTCAATAAGCTCCCAGCAGTTTAACCTTAAACCAACATTCTCAGCATGGCTTGACAGAAGACTCACATCACATCACAACTTAGATTACATTAGGATGTTTATTGCAGACAAGACTGAAGCTTCACACATAACAGTTGATAGCTATCTGCAATGCAAAATTATTTTTTCTATATTCCCAAAGGTTTTGCCCTTCTGTTTTTCTTTATTAACAGATTCTTGGCCAGCTTTGAAATTTATGCAGTGGTCCTCTTTAGCCTGGGAACTACTGCTGTTCCCATCTCCTCAGCCTTCATACCAGTCCTCCCATTTTACAGCTTCCTCAGCCTTATGATCATCTCTTTAGCCGGCTTGTTTTGAAATTTGTTTTAGCACTTTGAACATTATAGCAGCTGTCAAAGGCAAGTTGCTGGATTTTGAGCTTTCTCCTGCTTTAATTGGGCAGTTCACTCAGCCTGATCGGCTGTATGAGGCTGGTTTTGAGAATTGGGTTATTATGCTCTCAAATCCCCACCCCTGTGCAGTGTATTGTAGGGAGCTGTTAGGTTAGGGCTGTCAAACCTGTGGCCCGTGGGCCGGATGTCTCATGCGCTGGCCGCACCCAGTTTAGTGAAGGGGAAAAAAGTCCTGATATGTCACGTTATGACATGAGTGTGCCAAATGGCACCAACAGCTGCACCTAGATTGTTTTCTTCTGGAAGAGGGGAAAGAATTGTGGCAGAAGACACAGCTAGGGCTTGTTCACACCAATTAAGTGACCTTAATATTGCATAGGGTTGAATATGATTGTAAGAAAACCACTCCAATCACTTCACTTTGCCCACCTGTCTTCCAAGAAAAAAAAACTAGAGGGAAAGAGTGGCTGAAAAGCCCTTCTATTACATTAAATTTTCCAAGTTTGGCTGCAGAAGTCAAGCCAGGCTTACTGAAGTTTACCTATCCAGCAAAAATGGGGCTGTTGAAGTAATATAACCTTGCTAGTGGTCTCCTAGTATAAGGGCTCAAAGTATATCAGACACTTCCTAAATGGAATTTTGTAATCCTACAAATGGAAGCTTTTAATCAGTATGTGAAATTGTGTGCAGCTACAATCACCTGTAAGATTTGACTGAATTTGTTTGATTTCATTAAGTGTGCTGTGATAACAGGCTCACCACGAATATCAACAGGAAACACAACTGATCTCTGTAATGAAATGTTGGGCTTTTAAAGTTAGATCTTGATCTTATGCTTGAATGATTCTAGCAATGCAAGACTAATCTTTATCCTATTTGAGGAGTACAGAGTTATGTGTTAAATTTTGTGTATAACAATATGCAAAAACTCTTCAGCAATTTGGATCGAGAAAGCCCTGTACACTGTACAGGATTTCCATTTCTACAGTGCAGTGTATTTATGTAGATACTACAGGATGAGACAAAAACTGACCACCTTCCATCTCCATCAGGAAAGGTTATGACAGGAGATGTCCATTTTAGGAAAAAAATAAAGGGAGGACATAGGTTGCAGAGGTGGTATTCAGCAGGTTCTGACCAGTTCTGGAGAACTGGTAGTGGAAATTTTGAGTAGTTTGGAGAACCGGTAAATACCACCTCCGACTGACCCCGCCCTCATCTATTCTCTGCCTCCAGAATCCCAGCTAATCGTGAAGAAATGGGGATTTTACAGTATCCTTCCCCTGGAGTGGGCTGGGAATGGGGATTTTACAGTATCTTTCCCTTGGAGTGGGGAGGGAATGGGGATTTTACAGTATCCTTCCCCTGGAGTGGGGAGCGAATGGGGATTTTATAGTATCCTTTCCCTGCCACGCCCACCAAACCACGCTCACAGAACCGGTAGTAAAAAAATTTGAATCCCACCACTGATAGGTTGATAAAACTATCTGCAGTGTAGGAAGATTATAAACAAGGGAATTTCCTCCTCGTGAAGGGAGAGACCAGGGCAGCTTAGGGGCTTTCCAGATGTGATTTGTTGATCACACTGGAAACGGAATGCTTAGCCAGAGTTTTGTGGCTTGATCCAACATACTCCTTTTGCCTGAAGATGCCAGAACACAAAATTGGGACTTTCTGCCAACAAAATATGTCTTCTTCCACACAACCCTTGCATCTCCTTCGACCTTCTCTGCAGTACCATTATTATAACAGTGTTTATACACCTCCTGAAATAACAGTGGAGAATGTGCAACCAAACCAGAAGAGTCTGTTTGACTGTCAAAGCTAATGGGAACCGTACTCCCATTTTAGAACGCTACCAATTTTCCACCCATTGAAAAAATTGTATATTGTATTTCCTGTTTTGTGTACCTCTCTCTATTTCTAAGGAGGGAATAGAAGCAAAGCTGTTTCCAAAAAACCCAGGTTTTGGAACATTTCATTGAAAATCTGTAGCATTTTCAAGTGCTACATTTCATTTACGCAACATGCTTAAAGTACATACAAATTGATTGATTGAAAGCCCCTTTCACTAGGCCATAATTTTGTCATATTGTATATATATATGGGACTATGACCCTCTATTAATCCAGTGGAGCCGATTTCTTGGTCAAGTTCTTCGAAAATGCCATCAAATGTAATAGTTATGTTTGCGAGATTCCGGATCCCCTAAGGTCGTGTATCCCTTCTTGTTGACTGGCCAGTTGCGGCGTGGAACGTTAATACCAGGATTGACCGGGCGGGTGTTAGAAACACGACTGAACAGAACTTCACTTCTATCTTGTCTTGATTCAGGTAGATACAAGTGCATCTTATCAAGAAGATGCCCCGGCCAGAAATTATTAGGGTTGGTCAAGGGATTCAGGTAGTGATACATTCTCCTCAGTTCTCTGCAAGCAAATAATATGATCATGAAACAATATACAGAAAAAATAAGGTGGAGATTTAATAAAATGAAGATTTGTCATTTTGCCAAAAAAAGAAAGAAAAATTTAGGGTTTGAACGTAAGCTGTGCTGTGGCTCCTTTGATTCCAAATTTGCCAGAATGCCACTATGCAGTGCAAGCAATGGTTTAGGTTTAATATGCTGTGTCAATGCAATTGACACTGAAATGCAATTGTCAATGAATACAAATGCAAATGTCAATGAAAAGAAGGACTAGGGGTGACATGACAGCAGTGTTCCAATATCTCAGGGGCTGCCACAAAGAAGAGGGAGTCAAGCTATTGTCCAAAGCACATGAGGGTAGGACAAGAAGCAATGGGTGGAAACTAATCAAGGAGAGAAGCAACCTAGAACCAAGGAGAAATTTCCTGACAGTTAGAACAATTAATCAGTGGAACAACTTGCCTCCAGAAGTTGTGAATGCTCCAACACTGTTTTTAAGTTTTTAAGAAGATGTTGGATAACCATTTGTCTGAAATGGTATAGGGTTTCCTGCCTAAGCAGGGGTTTGGACTAGAAGACCTCCAAGGTCCCTTCCAACTCTTGTTATTCTATTCTAATTAATATAAAATTCCTGTACAAGCACAAATAAAAAAATTAAAGGGGAACTGACATTTTAATGTTGCCACCTTAATGAGAATGAATCCTAAATCAAATAAAAATAAAGTACTGTAACTTAAATCCTAGGTGCAAACTAAAAGGCTTGGGCCCAGCTGATCTGCAACACTGCCTCCTGCTGGAACTTACTTGCATCTGCATTTAGTATGTGTCCTGAGAAATTTGATTGCTAAAGCAGAAACTACTTGAAACTGACTTGAAAAAATAAGTATATTTTAAAGCCAGCTACATTTTAATTTAAAAAATATAAATTAATAAAACTAACAAAAATATTTTCCTTTTATGAACTGTAACAGTAAGCAATTCTTTGCATGTATGGATTGATTGGGACAGGGACTCAACTTCTAATAAAATAAACAGATTTACATTTGCTTTTACTATCGTACCTCTATTTGGGTGCTGCATTTGAATATTTTAAAATTATTTTTGATTTGCGTGATTCTTAATAATTAGACTTAAATAAATTTCCTCAAATCGGGGCGTTATCTAGAGGTATACACATCATTTTCCAGAATTCTCCTGCTGGCGTGACCATTGCTGAAAATTCTGGGAATTCAAAGGCGTCTAGGTTGAGAAAATGTAGGTTAAATACATCAGATTTAATTACTGTCCGTATGCCATTAAAATACATTGAAAAAAACCTTTTATCTCTTTCTCCATTTCATGCTCTACAACTCAGAAATGATTGTCAGTTGAATCTGACTTCTCTGGAGCTGATTTATAGGTACAGTGTTAAAGATGAGATGAAACTAATCAAGTTTGTGAGCTTATGAAGATATTAGACAAAGAGGATAAATTTATCAATGGCCAGTAGTTCTGAAAAATTGAATAGGGCTTTTTCTGTGTATTTGGGGTGGGTTTAAGGCAAAACAACTTACCTTAAAAGGGAAGGGAAATTGGCATTTTCGGATGTTCATTGTTTTGAAATGGCACTATAAGTGCCCTGTGACACTAAGTCAGCTATTCTGCCCCTTAAAATCCACTCCAAATGCCACAATGCAGGGAGGGAGGAAACAAGTCTAGGATTCCCGCTGCAACTATCAAAGGATTTCAGGGTGTGCAAGCAGTCATTGTATACTTGACTTTGAGCATTGCCCACTATTGATTTTAAACATATTTAAACATATTGAAACATGTGATATTAAAAAACAAAACATAATGCTGAAGTCCTCAGACTGGTAATCTTTTGTTTAAAATATTATTTAAAAAGGGAAGGATGTTGAAAGAAAGGAGATTAGAAACAGAAACTGGGGGTGGGGGGGAGGAGGAAGGAATTTTAAAAAGTTATGAATGAAAAATGGGAAGAAAGCGAATTATCAGGTGAACAAGGAGAACCAAGAATTTCTAACAATCCCTATGCCCACTTCTAGACAGATGTAGATCTTTAATGCCGAGTTCAACAAAAGAAATGTAATGTCATACCTTTCCATGTATTTTTTTGCAAACCCATCTGGACTCTCAGGCAAATTCTCACCAAGGATTTTCTCATTCCAAATATCCGATGGGGGTAGTATTCTTTTGGAGTGTTTACTGCAAAGCATAAAGAATTTCAATTTAGAATCAATCAGTATTATATAAAAAAAAGTTGGGCAGCTGGATGACAAAATAATAATAATAATAATGCTGTACTGTGGAGTGTATATTGGTGGATGAAATTAACAGGCTAGCCCAGTGCTCAGCAACTTTAAGATATGTGGACTTCAATTCCAAGGAAGTCAGTAGTTGAAATCAGGGGTGAAATGCTACCGGTTCGGACCGGTTCTCCTGAACCAATAGTAAAAAATGCTACCGGTTTGGGCGAACTGGTATTTCCGACGATCAGCTAGGTGACGATCAGCTGTGATGCACAATTTATATTAGCTAGAATCGTCAGATTTCCTGCTTTCTAGCTAATCTAAATCATGTGGCACAGCGGATTCCCACCCCCCTCACTGTTCTACTTACTTTTGCAGACGCGGAAGGCTTCAAAATGTTTCTTTTTTAGCGCTGTGCGGGCGCACTTCAAGCGTGCATGCGCGCGCAAAGTGCATGCTCGGTAGCAGACTCAGAACCGGTAGCAGACTTCAGAGGATTTCACTGCTGGTTGAAGTCCAACATTAAAATTGCTAAGGTCAAAGAACACTGGGCTAGAATCATAGCCTCTGCTCTCAACATAAAGTCTCTGCTAAGCTACCATTATGGTCAATTATTTGCTGTCCTCCAGCAAAAACTATCCCTAATTTTCTCTCCATCTGTAAGAGAAGAGATGAAGAAGGGTACCTTTGTATGGCCAGCTGTCAAGGTAGGACAGCATCAAAACAAGATTCCCTTTAGCTTTATACCCTTTATACCGTTTTCCTTCTTTTACTGTTACAGCCATGATCACAAATGGCTGGACAGCCCAATGCTGAAATAATCCAAATTTCCTTTGTAAATTAAAGCTAGAGAAAAGAGGAGAGATCTGCACATTTATATTCACATTCATTCACAGATTGCTAGTACATAGCAATCTAAATAGCTATACCCCAAAGAATCGGTTATATCTTTGCCTAATCTACAAATAAATTGCATTTTATTTTTTTTTGGCCAATTTGAGATTATTAATCCAATATACATTTCAGGTAATTCTATTGGAAGTGTATGAAATTCCCAGTATAATATTCCTAAAAGCTTGCCAACATTGCAAGTCTCTTAGCAAACTACCCAACTCTGTTAGCACGAAAACCTCTGGAAACTGAATACAAAATTTTAGGATAATTCAGTAATACCAGAGTACATTCCTAACTCTGTGTCTTGTCCACTGAAAAAAATACTCAGTTCAATCCTGTTGCAGAAATTTTGTTGATCTCACTGCAAAGGAATAGTCCATGAGAAGATGTTTGCATCTATTATTTCTATGGCAAAATACTTTTACCAATAGGATGAAGGATTATATAGAATAATATTGATTTACAACAAAAATCAATGTTATGTGACAGGTGAGCAGAAGTCCAAGAAAAAAATAATCATTTCTACAAACAAGAACAAAAAAAAAAAAAAAATCAGTTTTGCAGAATGGCTAAGTCAAATCGAATCGTCTTTGATTTACGACTGTAACTGAGCCCAGAATTATGGTTATAAATTGTTGCAGTTGTAAATCTAGGCATCATGTGACCAGATTTGAAGTTACAACCATTTTTACTACAGTTGTTAAGTGAACGCAGTAGTTGTTAAGCAAATCCATTTTCTCCAGAGTGTTTTTTGCTGGAAACTGGAGCATTGGAAACTGGCAAAAAAATATGTTGCAAATTACATTAATGTGACTGTAGGACGCTGCATCCAGCCGTAATGGTAAATCAGTTGCCGGGTGCCCAAAATGTGATTGTGTGACCAGAGGGTGTGTATGTTGCCATTGTAATTCCAAAAATGGGTTGTAGATATTTGTAGGGGAAATTTCTTATAATTTCAAATGAACATTAAGCGAATAGTTGTAAATCGTGGCCTACCTGAATGGAAGGGAAATGAGAGTGCTTGTGGATACTGAAGCTCCATTATTCCAAGAGCTTTTTAGATAATAACTCCCTTCTACTGAATACATACCACATCAGTTTCTTAAATTCCTTAAATGACTTCCAGCGGCAGGCCCGAACTTGCTTTTTGACTGGTTTCTTAATTGGTTTTGGCTTTCTAGAAGAAGTAAACAGAAAAGGTGATCAGAAATTGAGAGATTAGGATCAGACCAGTCCTCCCCAAGCTGATGTTTTTAAGATGTGTTAAAGAGTATAATTCACAATTTTTTTTATCCCAAAGGTGCTTTTTCAAGAGGCAATTGGACTTCCTTTCTTTGTTTTTCTTTGAAGACATTTCGCTTCTCATCCAAGAATCCAAGGAGCTGAAGAAGCTTCTTGGATGAGAAGCAAAACATCTTCAGAGAAAAAACAAGAAAATCCAGTTGTCTCTTGAAAAAGCACTTTTAGGACAACCATGTCATGGATGACTGAGACTCTCCATTGACATTTCCAAATTTTTAGATATTAATGGGGAAGAAGGCGGTTATAGTATGTTCAGAAAAACGGGATGGGGATCACTTATTCATGTGTCTCTATCACTTATACCAAAGTAGATCAGGTAAGAAAAAGCAAAAAGATATACATACACAGCCCTTAAAAAAAAACCGCACAGAATATTCTGTGTTATGAAAATTTATCACCAGATGCAAGGACAAAACCTCTAAAGATGAATGCTCTGCATATTCTCTTAAGCAGATCTAGCCACACGTTATGTTTTTATAGAGGCCAGCCAGATGTCTCTAGGGAAACATACATGCAAGGTATAACATGTGGCAGCCAGCCCTGATTTGTTCCCACTATATTGTTTCCAGAAGAACTCTGCCTCTGAACATTGTGGTTTATTCAATTATCTACCTTCATCTATAAAAGTTTTCTCGTGTCACAGCTAGAGCACTGAGAGAACGTGAACCTAGCTGATCAAAGGTTGATTAATAGAAGTTGAGGGAGCAACCAATTAAGCATTAATGTGTTGGCAACTTGAGAATTGGCATTGATATATTAGCGGGACTGCTTTGCCTACACAGAATTGTACGCACCCAATCCAGGCATCTTGGGAGAAACTACATAAGGTCCCTACAATGCCACATGGGGAGGACCAAGAATTGCAGATGCTGGGTTTTTTTTTATGGCTGTGCCTATGTTGTGGGAAGTGATTCCCAACTGACATCAGATTGGCCTTCTGAAAATTGTTAATGATCCATTGTTTCAGAGGGTCTATGGTGACAGATTATGCCAATGTGAGATTGGAGGTCCTTAGTGTTATTTTATAGTGGTGTTGATTTATGCTCTATTTTTATAGTGGATTTTTTGTGGCATTAATATGTTTGCTATGAATTGTCTACAGTTCAGCAGATAGTGATGGTTACATAAATTAGCATCCCTTCTGCTCAGTTTTTATTTGCAGTGTCAGAAAAGAGCAGCAATTATTCTACACAGGTGAGGTAGCTGAAGTCCTCAAGATATTGCTGGACCATAATCCCCACCATCTTTTACCACTGTCAAAACTGGGAAAAATTACTGGGAGTTGTAGTTAAAACCAGGAGAGAATTTGTTCTCTCTGCCAATGAGAGTGCATATCTTTTTTTATTTGGCCCGAGGGCTGCATTTGGTTTTTAAAAAGTGTGTGTTCTTTTTCTGTCCTATTGAAGTTATAATTTCATGACAAATTCTGCCTTCCGAGGATCATATCCAAAGCTTCTGGGAAGCCTATTCAAAGCTTTGGAGGAGCCACATAACACCCCAGATTCTGTGTACCTATCTTCAAAGACATTTGCTCTATGTTAGGTTCATATGAAACTTAAATACATGAGGATTTGGAGCTTTTAAAATAAAAAAAGCAGTAACACGAAGAGGAAAAGCTAGAGAACAAAATGCTGTTGGGGTTTACTATTACAGAATAAATTTGCAGCTCATGCTTTCAGCTCTGTATCCTGCTAATTTATGCCAGTGTAGAATGTTCTCAGTGGTAACATGTATACCAAATATACTTGTGATACTTTAGTTTTAGATAATGCAAAAATTAGTTATTGACTAGTCCACAATAAGCATATTTGTTTGTCTATATATATATACCCAACTGGAAGATAATTACTGCAATAGGAGAATAATCCAGAATATATTTCTGCTCTTCAAAATAGCAGATAAAAAAACAAACAAACTCTGGTTTTAACAGTGATATGCTAGGCCAAGAAATTGTGTGAACGTGTATGCAGGTTAATTCATCTGTGTGTGTGCATGATAAATTAAACAAACCTTTCCTCAACCTTGAAAGGTTCTCCCTCAGATTCCCCCAGGTAAACAGCATTGTCAATATATCCTCCTGGTTGCCTCAACTTCCGGGTGTCCTTTCCGAGTCTCAGGAGCCTGTCTCCTGGGTACAGCAGACCTATGGCACACAATGTTTTTTTTTTAAAGAACAAATGTAACATACTACACAGACTAGTAGTTTGTAAAAGACTCAATCTTTTGAGTCACAGTCACAGAGCAGAATTAAAAATTAAAACATTAAAATAAAACAAAACAGAACAAGATATAATACTATATTACAGTTAGCAGTGAGATCATCAACGGGTGGCCAAAGTCTGCCTAATTTTACAGAAAGTGTAGCAGAATTTAGCTATGTTCAAGGTGACTGTATCATACTGATCCAACAGTAACACCTATTTGCAAGAGAGATCAGAATTCCCCAGTATTTTATCAGGTGCTGAGTTATGAGTCTGTGAATCCTCATAGAGGGTACAACGTAAGAAAACATGAGCTGTCATTTCAGTGGCTCCTTGCCCACAGGGGCATAATATCAGATCATATGGGATAAGCTGTGGAATGTGCATCTGAATAATTTTCCCATATTGAATTTACAAAAGAGACTTGTTAAAGCTTTGAAGAATGTTTTGAGAAGGGAGAAAGAAAAAGAAAAAATACCTCTTTTTCATACCTCTTTTTAGCGCTCTTTCTGAAATTGGAATTCCATAAGCTTCGCAAAGCTTGACACACTGAAAGTAGACATAGTGGCATGCCAGTCGATGCTGGTCCACCAATTCTCCCATTTCACCCTCTAGGGAGCTTGGCAAGCAGTGACTATCGACAATTGGGTCTCCAGACCTCACTAGTCTGCACTTTTCCGCAAAGTCTAATGGACTCGTCTTCCTCTGTAAAAATAAGACGGTGTCTGTTATAAAATAATAGTGTTAGGCAATAAATTTTATTATACTGCTAAACTTGTAACATAGTGAGGAATGAATTAAAAGGGCAGACTTTTTTTTTGTCCTACTGCAAGAAAAAAAACCTCAGCTCTCTATGCAGACCTTTACTGAAATAGATTGAAAAATGTTTTTGCAAGATGTGAACCGGGGACCCTTGCTACATAGCAATAATAACGACTTTGCAGCAACTGCTCTAAACAACCAATTCTTAATGTCAAAGTCAAAGTCCAGCTTATAAAACTTCTTCCTTACTGCTAAGGGAAACTTTAGAGCAGGCCTGTCAAACTGGCACCCCCCCCCCCGGGCCATGCCCAACCCGGCTCCCTAAAGGCAAAAAACGTCATGATACGTCATGATCCGGCCCTTGATGCAATCGAGTTTGACACCCGTGCTTTAGAGGGCATACCCACTATTACAAACAAATATTTTAGCTCAGGGGAAATCGGTACTCCATGGGGTCTTCCCATTTGCATTTCTGCCATTTCTGCATTTTATACTGAACAGGCATCGAGTGCTAAAGCTGTATTCTTATCATTATCGGGCGGGCGGAAGAAGGTGTGTTAGATATGTTTGCCGCCCTGAGTTATTTGTAAAAATGATAAATAAGTAAAAATAAATAAAATATCACCCATTATTCAGGAGGTAAGTCAGGGTGCCTGTTAGCATCAGGGAAAAGTGGCAATAGACATTATAGATTAAATAAATTTTTTAAAAAATAGAGATGGTCAACAGGGAGAGCAGGTTCATAAGTGTATAGTTTTTAACCAACTCAACCAGCTTTAACTCAGCAATGGGGAAACCCATTACATCATCTAACCTGATTGAAAATAGGAAAACTGCTGTTCAAGATCCAGGGAAGTTGCTACTCCCTTAATAGAAAGATGATAGGATTAGTCAGCAATTATACATGCTGGGCTCTTCCACAGTGATAGAGCTACTTCTGTTGCCTACATTTAAGTGAACACTAATAGGGAACTTCTTTGGCAGACATCTTCATGAATGCTGCCCTCACTGGGCTTTTTTACTTTTTAACTCTTCTCTGTTGCTGTTTCTTTCCCCTACATTTCAAAGAGCCCTGGTGGCGCAGTGGTCAGAATGGAACATTGTAGGCTAACTCTGCCCAATGCTAGTTTGATCCTGGCTGGCTCAAAGTTGACTCAGCCTTCCATCCTTCCAAGGTTGGAAAAATGAAGACCCAGATTGTTGGGGGGCGGGGGGCGGGCAATATGCTGAGGCTGTAAAACACTATGAAACGGTATATAAGTCTAAGTGCTATTTCTTTTGTTGAAACATTTAGTGGTTTATCCAAAGTGCTATAGAATGAAATGGCCTTCTGCCTATAATTCATCCTTACTTTATGCAACCAGCTAGTAGTCAGTTCCCATTATCCAAAGCAAATGATTTGAGAGTAGAGTCAGGCCACAAAAATACAGTACCTTTAGCCGCCGTCTGGTTTCCTTGTATCTCTTCCCAACTATTTCCATTTGGTTATAAGTTAAGTGCCTGCGATCTGGTTCAGTGTTGATGGGAGGAACTTGCAAATGGTTTAACTTAGGTTGACCAGCTACCTGAGAAGATATACTGGACTTGGCATGAGAAAATATATCTTCTTTTGCAGTGATGGATGCAGATTTTGCCACCGTCAATGGCTCTTTAGCATTGTTATTAAAACAAAGGAAAGAAAACAGAAAATAGATTATAAAAACATCAATATTTCTTTCTCCTCTACCCCCACCCCCCCCACCCCCCCAGCAATTATTGAGCTGTTTTATCATGCTGGCTTCTACTTAGTTCAGGAAATACTTTCTCAGAAATTAGAAAAACGTCCTGTCTCACTTTGATTTTCAATAGCATTCACAATAATTACTAATCTGAACTGTTTTAAACATCTGTTAAAATAACCAAAACAACTAATACATACTGTATGAATATATATGACTGTTGCTTATTTCCTTACATATATTAAATTGCCAAACTACACCCAACCTATAGCCAATACCCATATGTCACTAACTGGAATATCAATTTTTCTTAAGTTATTTATATATTCCCCAACTTGCTATCCTTCAAATATGTTGGAATTATAGTCTAGAATTTCCAAATACAGTACCTTAAAAAACACCTTCGATATTTGTTTATGATGCCATCAGCAACTAAATCTGTAAGTTAGAACTACAGGGCATAAGTTATCAGGGACTGAAAACTATTCAATCATCTATATTGATTTAGTTATTTGTTACCTTGCTTTGGCTGTTTCCAGTTATCCCTTATATTATCCATCCATAATCTTTGACATTCAGCTAAATCAGCACCAGTTATAATATGTCCTTTCTTTGAAATGGTGAGAAAGACAATGATTTCTTCTAAGTCACTTTTACTGATCGGCACCTTGGTCTGGAAATAAATAGAGAATAAAAATAGCAGTTAGGTCTGAGACTTGACTTGATATAAAAATCCAAGGGGAAACAGCTATTTCAAAGATAACAATTTCTTACATAGTATCTTCTCAGTATAGCAAGATACAAACTTTCCACTTTCTTTCTTTTTTAAAATAATTTTTATTAAACAGTTTTGTCTCTAAAAACAACATAAAAAACAACCACAGATACATAAAAACAATACAAAACATAACAAATAGTACATACCCTCTAAGGTCATTTTACAACTTTCTGGATTGGCATATGTATTTTGCTTTTGTGGCTCTCTATTCTGTCATATCCATTTACTTCTCAATAGTAGTATAATAATGTTACATCAACTTATATGTTAACACGCATAATAGTATTCATTGTTCTTATCTACTGATTTATATTCATTTATATTTATCTCTTTGTTCAATGCTATTCAATTACTCCAATTTATCAAATTAAATTGTTTTCTGAAATTAAGACTTAAGTTTTAAGTCTTAATATACTCATTATGTCAATCCTACAGGAAATCAACGTGATTTGGGGTTGATTTGGAAGGACAGATACTGACACTAATGCTCAAATACTTTGGGCACCTAATGAGAAGAGAGGACTCATTGGAAAAGACCCTGATGTTGGGTAAGATGGAAAGCAAAAGGAGAAGGGGACAGCAGAGGATGAGATGGTTAGATAGTGTTATTGATGCAATAAACAGAATTAGGGCAAACTCCAAGAGAGAGTGGAGGATGGGGAACCTGTTGTGCTATGGTCCATGTGGTCATGGAGAGTTGGACAAGCTTAGCAATTGAACAACAACAATACCCATTATGAAACTTTTAACCATCTAAAATGGATAAAAAAAAGAATCACATAACTGAAAATTGGTAGTTTTAATGTTGCATTTTGGCAATATGATGTGGAATTGCACTCGGGACTGCAAAATAAGGGGGCTGCGGGTTGCATGTTTCCCATAGGCTTCCCACAACTAGCTTAACGCATTTTAATAAATCATAATGGGTGGTATTCAATATGTTACTTCTCTTCTCTTACCCTTCCCCTCACTACCGTATCTATGGAGAAAAAATATATTGTCAAGAAAGCAAATGAGCAAATCAAAGCACTTATTGACCCCATGTGCAATTTTCCCCTATTAAGGCATCAAGAAAGAATCCCTACATTTATACTTATCTAACTATGGATCGTGATGGCCACTGTGATGCAGTGGTTAAGGCATTACCGTAGGCTAGAAATGTGAGACTGTGAACTCTACTCCTGTCTTGATATCCCTGATATCAAGGTAGGTTAGCTTGGCCAGTCATTCTCTCTCTCAACCCCAGAAGGGAGCAATGCAGGGGTGGGTTCTACTTACCTTTACTACCGGTTTGCAATGGGGCCATGCCAACGCGCTTTGCTCGCACTTCTGCACATGCACAGAAACTTCTGCACATGCACAGAAGCTTCCTGATGACATCCGGGTCAGAGGGCGAAGCCTCATGCCGGTTTTACTATCGGTTCTTGCGAACCGGTCCGAACCAGGGGCAACCCACCACTGCAGCAGTGGCAAACCATCTCTAAAATCTTGCCAAGAAAAATTCAGGGACTTGTGTCCAGGCAGTCTTCAGGAGTCAACAGTGACTCAAAATCACCAAAGTCAACAACTAAGGAGTATAAGGGTTTTCCCACCTACCTCCTGGATAATTCTAAGGAAATCCACTCTTTTGAATTTCATTGTCCTGCTCCTGTCAGCTTTTTTGAAGAGATCCACAAGCTTGAGTTTTTGCTTATGCAGGAGGTTTTGTAGTGTAATAATAGATGGTGGATACGGAGCCCGAATAAGAGGTGTAGTTTTCACTGGTTCACTCTTTGGTGCGGTCTGCGGGAGACATCCAAACATTTTAAAAAGATTACACGCCACTTTGTTTTGATGAAACAGAAATGCAAATACTTGGTTAGTTCTTCAGTCAATCAAGCAACCATCAGCTGTATTGCAAAACACAAGCAGATTGGTGGACATATTACGGAAGGCAAAAAACAAACAGACAACTGGTCTGACATATGTCCTATTTTTATCTCATTTTGTGGCTTCACTGTTTGCATTCACTGGTCAAATTTATTAATCCAAGGGCTTTGGTAATAAAAAAAAGTAAGAAGTAATTTTATCATTGCATTTGTTTTTGCTAGAAAGAAAATCAGAAACAAGATGGGCTCCAATATACTACAATATGATAGTCCTTACTTAATGGTGTTCGCTTAGCAATAGTTTAAAATTATGATGCCCTCCTTCCCCAAATGGTACTTACTACCAAGTTCCAGAGTTTTGATGCAGCACCCCCTCCCCCCACAGTTCCATGACTGCATTTTGGGCACTTGTCAACAGCCAGTTGCAGTGTTTCTCAGTCACATAACAACAATTAACTTTTTTTTGCTGGTTTCTGGCAAAAAAAATGCCAAAAGGAATGAATAGACTCATTTTAATACTGCGGCATTCATTTTACAACCGCTGCAAAAAAAAAGGGGGGGGATCCTAAAATCAGGTTGGTCATGTGGGCCCTTCAACTTATGATTGTCATGATTTAGAAATTCTGAATTCCTTTACAGTCATTAACTCGAGGACTACCTGTATATAAACACCAAGTCAATACAAATATATTATAGTCTCTTTCAAGACTAGGAATGAAATGTTCCAAAGTCTTCTGACTCAAAAAAGTAGGAGGAAAAGGCTTTAAATCTGGAAAAGGCATAGATACACAGGGCTTCATCTCTGGATTCTGCGATAGGCAGATATTCTCTGCACACGTGGCTTCTTTCTTGTCTCCCAATAATTCATATAGCCCTGCCTTTGCGCCTACTGCTATAAGCAAGTTCCTGAATACAAAATTCAGTGCCCATAGCGCTAAAGATTTATTGGTGGGCTTGGTATGAAGCCTGAAACATGAGGTATAATTTTGACAGTTCCTTGGACATTGTAATTATCTACATATTAGATTTTTTTATGCTGCCCTTCCACTAAAAAGCTTGAGACACTCCATGTTCTTCTTGCCTTATTCTCAATACAGCTCTCAGACATAGGCTGGACTGAGAAAGGAGACTGGTTGTACATCTGGCTTATAGTCATCCTCATAAAACATCATGGATAACAAGGACTTTTAAATGACGCTCCCCCATTATAGACCCAAACTCTAATCCACAAGTGGAGTCTTCCAGATGTGGATGAGGAACAATTTACGCCATTCTTCCTGCTGGATGGGCTAGCTTGCAAATGTAGTCCGAAAACATCTGGATAGTCAAGTCATCAGTTCTGAACCTTGACACCATGCTGACTTCCTACTACGCTTACCTTAACACTTTGGAGAGCCAGCAACTCGGCTTGAATTTTAGCCTCCTCCGCTTGTCTTTCTTCTTTTAATTTCCTCAGGGTGCTTTCTTCTTGTTGAGTGAGAGGCTTCTTTTCAGTCAACCATTCCTCCAGATTTACACTGTTCTCCAACAGATTACGCAGTTGTTTTCTCTCCTTAATCCAAGCTTCCATATTTAGCAGGTCACTTTCCTCAGTGGAGATGCTCTCCTGGGCCTCTGGAGGTGCTCTCAACTCCTGAACTTTCTCTGCTTCACTGGGGACAGGTGGCCGAGGCTTGTGAATACTAGGAGCCACACTGTCCATCGGTGGTGCAATATGAATACGCCGTCTTGATTTAGGCGGGCCAAATCTATTTGATCTCAATTTAAGGGAATAATAGGGATATTCATTTCTGAGTTTATACTGTTTAAAGCAATGGTTTAAAATCCTGTCTGGGGCAGATTCTTTAGGAGATTCTTCAATTAAAATGGAGTCACTTTCAGTTTCACTGAAAAGAAAGAATTTGGGTAGAGTCAAAATCATTAATACCACGCATCCACCCTTTAAAAAAAATACAATAAAATTAAAATACCTAATGGTACATCTGACAATATTAATTTCTGTAAATATTGTTTTCTTGGGGACAGAAATAACATAATCAGCCTAAGATTTCAACAGATATTTACAGATATGGATTTTTTCAGAAATTATAGAGATGGGATAAAATCTATTTATGAGTTTTCATTTCTTAGGGGAAAGTGAGGCCACAATGCAAAAGTGATTTTCCGCATATTCCTCCCAAAGTTCAAATGAGAAAGGACAAAGCTTAAGTATGTCAACAAAATTGCATTAAAAATTGCCCAGGTAGAATCCAGTGTCTCTCCAGGCAGGGCTGGGACAGAATTCTCTGAAAGTTCCTGCTCTTGCATTGAACTTGATGGGTCCAAGCATATGAACTGTGGCTAACAGAATGCTTCTAATCTTGATTGGCAGGATCTGAAAATTACAGTCTCCCACATATGGAGGGCATCTGGTTAGGGACACTGCTTTGTAAAAAAATTAGTAGCAGATTGGAGATAAAGTGGCTTTATTTATTTGTATCCCACCTTTATTATTTTCTACAAATAAAGTAGCTACCATATCTAAAACACTCCTTCCTCCTCCTCCTTTCCCCACAACCATCACTTTGTGGGTTGAGCTGGGCTGAGAGTGACTGACCCAAAAGTCACCCAGCTGAGTTTCACGGCTAAGGCAGGACTAGAACTCACTGTCTCAACTTTCTAGCAGAGTGCCTTAACCACTAGACCACACTGGTTCCCTAAAGAAATTCCCTGACTCTTAAAACTATTCATTCTACCATTCAATGCCAAGAAATAAGAGGCAGAACATTGTCCCAATGGGGTTTTTCCAAAAGGCAACTGGACTTCCTTGGTTTTGTCCTTGAAAACGTTTTGCTTTTCATCCAAAAAAACTTCTTCAGAACTTGGACCAGAAGCGAAACGTTTTCAAGGAAATAAAAAACCCAGAAAAGTCCAGTTGCCTTTTGAAAAAGCCACTTTGGGACAATCAGATCCTGGGATGATTGAGAAATCTCCCTAGCCATTCTAAACTCTTTGTTACCATCTAGCGGCCGTCCCGATTTCTGCAATCACATCGCCTACTGATCACCCATGAGAAAACAAATAGAAAAATCTCCCCGTTGCCTCTTTTTCTATCAAGAGAGAGCTTTTATAAATCGGGAGGCCCCCTTGCTGCAATTCTACCAACCGGAGAAACGAAGATATGGAGTCGTAGAGAGATTGCGATATGTAACTGCTCCCTGAAATGTCACTCCGGTTTCTCGTGCTTTGTGAAAGCCAGCTAAACTGCTCCATTTTGCTCGACATTGCGACGTTCTTCTAGAGCAGAAACTTTACCGTCGGCGTCTTCGGACCCGGGGGGAAAAACAAACAAACAAAATATCCGCCGTTTTACTGAGCTGTGCAAAAGACAGGAAAAGCCCGCCGTTCTCTACAATTCTGGAGTCGAGGGAAAAAAAGAGAAGCAGGAGGGAAGAACCCTCGTTCCCAAGCTTTTTCTCTATCAGCTGCGGGGTAAAATGACCTGACAACGGTGCCCCCCCCCCAACCTCCCTTAACGCACCACCATTAGAGGATAAGGCAAAAATGAGTTTTGGCGGCCACCAAGGCAACGGGCGGACGGGCTTGGCTTGTAGTTGATTGGCGCAGCGGGAGAAGATCGAACGTTGTGTCGCAAAGCCGCGGGGACGCCCTGGTCAATTTCGTGCCGGCCTTTCCCGCCTCGGCGCTCACGCCCCTTTCATCCCTTTTTGTTTTTGTTTTTTTTAAGGGCTGGGACGGGCAATTAATAGCAGCACAACAGGGACAGGGAGTAAATCCTAGCTGGCGTCACGCGTTGACGACCCCCTCCATTCATGACATACGTACTGGATCTTGAGGGAGAATAGCCATTTATGGGGTGGCTAATGTGTCTATGGCGCTAATCAAGGTTCGTCTACTAAAACAAGTTCCAGTGATGGGGGAATAGCTTTCCATGCTGTCTAAAATCATGGTTTGCAAGGCCAAAATAGCCGGGTATAATATTGTATACCTAATTTGACTCATTGTGTGAACTAGTGACTGGATTAAGATTTATCATGAACAAAATAAGCCTTTTCCTGCCAAACCATTAAACTAAAACCGCTGAAATGATAAATCACGCCTGAAAAAACCTCCCAGATACAGCATGAGATTTAAATTACTTTGCTGTTCAAAATGGTAGTAAATATGAAAAAAAAAACACTTTATTTGATACCACGTAGGAGACTAAAATGAGGACAAAGCTAATTTGGCATTTCATCAGTCTTTCCACCTCTTCAAAAACATAACAATATTTGAATTGTGATGCTTTCTTTCACAAGCCACAGATTCTAACTGTAATAAAAACTCTGTTTTAAATTAATGGGTATGGCTTCCTATCTTTAACATGATTTGCTATCAGAAAGCCCATGAGATACAGTCCTATCATAAGGAATGACAGATTTGGATGGGGGCTGTCACAATAGTTAGATTCACACCTTCTCATTGGTTTCTTGATTTTCATTGGTTTCATCACCATCTTCCTGATCCAGTCTGAATGAGAAACAGCAATCAGAAAATCAGTAGAAGAAGCCTCTTTCAGAGGGGTGGTTAGCTAACCTGAATTGGAATCTCAAGATGCTTGCTAAATTGTAAATTGTACAGAGTCCTGGTTTATTGTGTTCTGATATATTACGCTAAACAAACTTCAGTATTTAAAATGTCCATGATCAAAGGAGTGAAAATGAGAAATGTCACTTTTGAGCAAAATTATATAGAAAAATGGAATTTAATAAGTTCTTTACAGGCATATAAAAGGAACATTTATACTTATAGTTAATAAAGTGGGATAGCAGAAAAAGCAGTTTAAAAAGTGAGAAAGGGCCAAGAGATTATAGAGAGCTAATAATTAAGATTTAATTTGTCATGGTTTTCCCGCAGCCAGGAATGATAAATGTTCAATTTGTGGTCTTGTGGCTGTACCTGAAAGAGAAATGAACATGTTTTTACCTCATTAGTAGATCAGTGATCTAATCTAATGTCATCCATAAGCCATATTGCACATTTTATTGTAATTTCATATTTATTTGCTGAAGTATAAAAATTTCTCTATCATAGAACAAAAGTGATTATTAGCATAAGACCTCTCAGATAAATATGAGAAAAGTATGGAGGGTCTAGTTTTATTTCTTAGGTTGTGATATTAAAAATACTTTGCAGAGCAAATGATTGTTGTTTTTTAAGACACAATAACAACAAAATGCAAAAAGGATATTCAAGTCTTATAATAGTTTAAAAAATTCTATCTAGAAGAGCATAACATTCTGTTGTTTTCTGCAGTTCTAGTTCATATGAACCATGTATGTAGCTGTAACTCTTGTATTATTTCTAGGTTACAGATTGCTATAATTAATATTAGTAATATTAAAGTAATAATATGAAATTAATATTAGACTTTCTATGATTTTGATTAAATTAAGAACACACAAGCATCTATTACCTCTTTCCATTCATTCACACAGAAAATTCTGTAAGAATCATTTCCATATTTTCCAATTCCATGTAATTCAATTGGATATTTCCACTGCTTAACCAAATATTCATCTAAGGAACAAAAGAAAAAGTTATAAAAAACTGGACTAAATTCTATTGGTTTTAAGTTTATGAAAAATAACTTATAAGACTTTAAGAGTAATTGCTCATTTATAAAAATGTGAACTACAAGAAATCAAAACCTTGATAAATTAAAGTCAGGAGCTCGTTCTACTATCAATAGCTAAACAAAAATAGAATACTCATAAATAACACAGATGGCACTTCACTTCTATGTTCAAATAATTTCTTACTAAATCCAAAAAGGATATATTACTAAAATATTCCAATGCCAAACTCTCCAAACTGTTTTAAGAATGGCAAAAGAATCAATGTTAAAAGTATCAGTACATAAATTAAACAAAAAACATTGTATATAAGAGATTGTATATAAATGTTCTTTTGGATCACAATTTACAAGAAGTACTAAATGGTAATGACTTCAAATATATGAAACAAATTTCCACTTCATGTCTCAATCATGAATGTATTAAGGGGTCTTTGGCAAACTATCATTCCTCAGTTTTGGTCTTCCAACCACAATAAGAAATACAAATGCTGATATATTATATAACTGTACCAAGGTTTTATGAGAGAATATACATTAAACATATGGAATATTATAGATATTACCTGAAAATTTGACAATGGTCTTTGCTCTGAGTTCATATAGGCCAAGAGGTTTAAGCAATTCTGACATTTCTTTCCAGTTGGTAGTTCTTGCTACATTTGGTGAAGGATATTTCTTAAAAAATTCCCACAGCACAGGGATAGCCATCTTTCCTAGGCAAAAATAAGAAACTGTGAACAACATGTGCACTGAATTTGCAAAGCTGGCTGCAATTTCTCGAAAGACAGATTTTTCTGCACAGAAGTAACTTGGCACAAACCTGTTGACAGTTTTTAGCCATACTGATATCTTACAACTTACATACAGGATTCACAATTACATGTAAGTAATTTCAGTGACAGAAAATCATTGTGGTGTGAAGCAGCCCTATGGTTTATATTGTCAGTATGGTTATAACTTCATCATCTGATTTTTAAACTATATATGTATATGATCCAACCAAACTCACGTGATACGTTGAGCAAATGTCACTATTGAATCTCTATCATTTTAGTTCCCTTTGCATAATTTAAATTCAATACTTAATTCCCTTTTGCATAATTTAAGTTCAATACTGTCCTCTTTCTGGTTCTTACCAGCTGGATGACAGCCATTTTCTTAGGGAGAAAATCCAGATTCACTAGCAATACATCAAATCATAATTTGGATAGAGCCTCTTACATAGCACTTTATAGCCTGATTAGGACTCTGTGGGAAATTTATGTTTTAACTTGTCTGCAAAATGAATTGCACATGTCCCAACAGCACTGGACTGAACCACAGGAAAGCAATTCCATGCATGGGAATTCGAGAAGTGGCCATGATTGTTCTCTTATTTACCTGAGGTTTTGTTCAGAAATATAGTTGCAATCAGAAGTTTCCATGGATCATGAAACAGTGTTTCCTGAACCAGATTAAAAGGAGAACGAGGTGGAGTCCATTTCCTAAAAGCTTTCCTTCTTGGTGGACTTGGAGCTAATACAAAAAAAAGTGACCATAATTTACTTTTATTGTGTACAATTACTCCTATAGATACAAAGACAGTCTGGGTTGCTTTTTCAAGTTCTAAACAGAGAGATCAGATGCATCAAAAATTTGCTTCCTTCTGACAGTGTTTAGATGCTTCTGTTAGACTGGCAATAAATGAAGCAAACTATGCCAACAGTGTTAAAACTTCCCTTTTCTCTTGTAAAGGCTGAAATTATTAAGAACTATGGTTAAGTTTGTCTTAATGAGAACAATCAGAAGCTATGTTCTAATCCTCAATCAAATTCTAGAAGTAACTAGAATTTTACATAAATCGCTTTCCAATTTTTTTTTATTAGTAGAGAATGATTGTTTGTTTAAAATCTAAATAAAACCTTCTGTTTTCACGATTCATGAATAAAAGCCCATGTGCCAGTGGATTGCTCATAATGAAAACAATGGTTTTCCATTACATCTTAATTCAATTAATGTAACCCTGACCAAATCTCTTTAGAAGGGATGATTCATTGGAAACCAAACAGCTATTCATATACTGTAATACATTTGAAATTATTCTGTTGTTTATAAATCACCCATCCAAATATTACCCATATTAATTTACTCAGACAACTATAAGTATTTATACTTATTTCAGAACATCTCTGCTTACATTTTATTATGCAGGTATAAAAACATTTTAATTTGCTTCCACATAAATATGACCAAGACTGCAAATCCTGTTAGAATTATTTTTTTAAAAATAAGCTTGCTAATTTTCCACAAAGCATTTTCATATAAAAACATTTTTACCTTCTTTGATTAATTTTCTGGAAAAATATGGACTGGTTTTCCGTCTTTCCACTTGGGTTCTTTGAGTACGGCTCTCTAATTGTAGAAAAGCAAAATAAAAAAAGCAATAATGTAAAATTTTTAATTATGTGGACAGAAGATACACACAGAACAATAATCCCTTCTTTCTGCAATACAGATAGTCCTCAACTTACGACCACAATTGAGCCAAACATTTTTGTTGTTAAGTGAGACATTTGTTAAATGAGTTTTGCCCCATTTTACGACCTTTCTGCCAGAGTTGTTAAGGGAATCACTGCAATTGATAAGTTAGTAACCTGGTTCTTAAGTGAATCTGGCTTCCCCATTGACTTTGCTTGTCAGAAGGTTGCAAAAATGTGATCGCATGATCTTGGGACACAGCAACAGTCATAAATATGAACCAATTGTCAAGCATCTGAAGTTTGATGACATGATCATGGGGATGCTGCAAAGGTCGTAAGTGTGAAAAACGGTGATACGTTACTTTTTTCAGTGCTGTTGTAACTTTGAACGGTCACTAAACAAACTGTTGTAAGTCGAGGACTTCCTATACTAGCATTGCCTCTTTGATATCCAGATCTGGTTTTCAGGAAGAAGATAGGTTACGTGAAGGTGTGTGTGTGTGTGTGTATGTGTGTGTGTGCGTGTGTATGAGAGAGAGAGAGAGAGGGAGGGAGGGAGAGAGAGAGAGAGAGGAGTATAACATGCAAGTATAACCAACCTCTAGTCCTTAACATACAACCGTAATTGAGCCCCCAGTTACTAATCCTGCTAACTTGATTTTACAGTATCTTTTTGTGATGGTCATTAAGCAAATATCCTTAGTTATTAAACGAACATCGTTAAGTGAACTCAGTGTCTGCAATGGCCATTTTGTGCCAGAAAATGGAAGTGAACAACTGTTTCTGGCAAAAAGTATTTTAAATACGAGTGGTTGCCGAGCACCTAAAATGTGATCATGTGACCACGAGGGGGGGGCGCTTCAAAATCCGGATCATAAATATTCTTTGGGTCCATTATAACTAAGTGACCAGTTGTAAGTGGAGGACTTACATGTATAAAAGCCAAGAACTAAGATGATCCTTTTTCTTTCTTTACAATAAACAAAAAATAAAGTTATTTATTCTTTACAATAAATAACTTGTATTATTACAAAAGAGCCTGACTATAAAATACTAATAAAACTCAACATGGTTGGTCCTTAGGTTACCTTACAGATCATC